GCTAACTCTTGAGCTACTGTATATTTTATATTTATATATACTTCATATTTTATATTATGTAATCGAATAGTTGGATTTTACTGTCACTCTTAGAACGAACCCATAGTCCCAAAAAGCCGAGCGCGATGTTTTTATGGTAACGAGCAATGGAACCCTCCGATCCACAGTATAGCACACTAACTACTAGGTCATCCTCAAAGTATTGGAAACATACCACTAGATCTATCAGTCAACTGTGATTGCATACATATGCTTATTAGAAGGTTTTTTTTTTTTTGTATTTTATTTTGGATACTACAGGTTTTCTAATCACTTCATTCCACAACCCCATTTGGAAACAAACGGAATTATCTGCCATTATCTTCGAGTTTTTGTCGTGTAGATAGTTTTTATCTGGCGTTTACGACATTCAAAAGTTCTTTGCTATGGCATGATACCCAACGGTAAGTTTTCAGCTACAAGTTAAGTTATTGAAAATGTTCATCAAATAAAAATTACTAGCAGAAGATCATCGGTTTTCTTGTAATGTGGTGTGTACAAAGTAAGCAGTCGTGCACAAGCTGAAATATTTGTTTATTTGTAATTAAGCACAAAGCTACACAATGGGCTATCTGTGCTCTGCCCACCATGGGTATCGAAACCCGGATTCTAGTGTTGTAAGACAAACCGCTGTGCCACTGGGGGGGCCAAGCCGAAATAATACACGTTATTCGTTCAAGACTAGAATAAGGTTATGTACATTCTATGTGAACAAAACCGACACCTTTTCATTCACTTTATGTAAACATCATTCCTCATCTTCAATTTTAAAAATAAGAATTTCCCAAATTCTGGACTTTCTTAAGATTTTAATCATCAGTAAATATATTTAAATTCAAACTATACTGCCTTTATATTTCAATGAAGTGAATTTAGAGATAATTTGTTTTTGCATTTTGTACTTGTTCTAATCAAATATATTTAAACGTTTTTTTATGTTTTATAAATGTTGATTTAGAATTTATAATATATATATTTATATTGAGTGCACGTATATATTCTCGTCAATATAAACATATCTGTTTGTGTGACTGAACTTTTTGAAATAGCGCCTATACATGTTTGAAATATGCAATAGCTTATACAGTAGGCTTAATCGTGGTTTTTCTTTAAATCTCAATCGATAATCATGTGCTCACTTGAAACAGAAGACAACCAGTATAATGCTCGTGCACTAATGTTTATATAAACTCTACAGATTATTCACTTTGAAATGCATAATTCTGCTGCATTTAGATTGAAGATAAATATTGGACATTTGCAACAAGTCAAGTGACGGAAGATATAAAAATATGCAACTTACAACATTTTATTCTAGGCATAAAAATGTACCTCTTGACCCGCATGCTTCTGTACCCTTTAAATGTGTTTGTTAAAATATTTACTGTAACATTAACCTGTACACTTCTTATTCATTAGATATGCAGCAAAAAATAACAAACATATAAATACGTGTACTAATATTTTCTTTGTTTGAATATTATGTGTATAGACGGTAACTCATTCCGTTAGGTTTACGTGTTCTATTTATTGAGCCCCCCAGTGGCACAGCGGTGTGTCTGCGGACTTATTACGCTAGAAACCGAGTTTTGATACCCGTGGTTGATAAATCACAGATAGCCCATTGTGTAGCTTTGTGCTTAACTTCAAACAAACACGCTGTTTATTGAAGGTTCTAAATCTTATGTCTTCCACTCGAACCAACAAACTAAAGCAATGCATGACTAGTTTAACACGAAGAATTTACTGACAAGCTAACTGTAATACACATACCAATTTCTCTGTCTAGTGGGACCGATCATGGCCAATTTCAGTCTTTGTATTCGAGGATTCATGGTTCTTGTCCATTGCGACAAAATCGCACTTAACATACTGGAGCTGTAGGTGTGCTATAGGAGTAACGGTCAAATCAAGGAAGATTAGATCAAGAGCTGGCAATGGGTGCTGTTCACTAGTTGTCTTCTTTCTCTCTGGTCTATCAGCTCACAGTTAGGGGTGGCTCTGTACACATATCCCTCAGTAGTTTTGATCGACATTCTGAAACAAACAACCTCTAATTAGAAATTTAGTGGAACTGTCTGTACAGTTTAAACCTTATCGACTTATCCATATTAATTTCTGCCCATCTATCTGTTTGTTCTCAGATATAAAAATAAAATGTATGCTTAGTGACGCATGTTTATGTATAATTATTTATTTTAATCATGAAAGCTGTAAAGAAAGTAAAGACGATAAGGTCAGAATCTTCAAGACAGCATGATAATACCCACATTAATATCCTTTAATTTTAATATGTATAAGGATTACTTCGTTAAGCGTAAAAAAGGGTGTTTGTTTGTTTGTTTGTTTTAGGGCAAAGTCACATTGGGGAATTGAACTTCGGATTCTAGCGTTGTAAGTCCGTAAACGTACCGCTGTCCCACCGAGGGACATCAAAAACAGAGCATAAAAAAGGGTGTTTGTTTGTTTGTTTTAGGGTAAAGTCACATTGGGTTTTTTGCTGCTTCTACCGCGGGGAATTGAACTACGGATTCTAGCGTTGCAAGTCCGTAAACGTACCGCTGTCCCACCGAGGGACATCAAAAACAGAAAATTACCTCTCAGTACGAAGTCTTACAACCTTTGCATTTTTTATCAGATACTTTCCATGCAGAAATTACTAAAAATGAACGTATCTCGGTTACATTTCTACTCTTAACAAGCGTGATTACTCCAGTGTTGAAAAACTGTCAATAAAACGTTTTTAAATCACGTAAAAATAACAATAAATATTTTTTTTAGTAATAACGGTTTACTAGTATAATTTATTTCATGAATTTTTAATGTTAGTCATTATGTAACAAGTTTAATTGTTTGTTATCAGGTATTCGGGCAGAGATACTCAGTCGTCCCTAATTTGGAATTGATAGACTAGGAGGAAGGCGGGTGCCTAAATCAAAAACAACCATCGCCATCTCTTGTATTAGTACTGTCTGACCGAATAGTGGGATTTAACCTTTACACTTATAACGCATCCATTTCGTTTTTGTTGTTTGCGATGCTAGATTCGCAGATACACAGTACGAGACGCTAACCATTTGGTCACGCATGGCTCCTTTATAAAACAAACTTTCATAGTGAACATTAACCTGTGACAGAAGGAAAATAATAAAACATTTAAACTACTTCTCTATAACACCTTATTTAAAACATATCATTGTAAGGTATACTAAGAAATACACTGAGAAAATTACAAATAAAATTATAAAAGTAGACGTGATTGGTCAATATTCAAGCCAATGAAAATTTGCTGTACATTTTAACCAATGTGAACTTCATTATACTTTGTAAAACATACATTTACCGCTTGTGTGTATTTTAACGTTGTTGTTTTTTTTTCCTGATTAGTGCTATTTTTCTATTTGAAGTCCATATATTCTTGTCTTCCAAAGCATATACCTTTCTGTTGCATTGTAGACCTTTAAGTTCAAGAACATTTGTGATATATGACACTACAAGTATTTTATGTTTCTGCTACTCTGTGAATAACGCTTAATTCTCGTTAAATGTTAATAGTCTTTGAACAACTAAGCAATTTCGGTTTAAAATTTTTAGATATTGAAGTAATGGCACTGTGTACACTGATTGAAATGAAATTCATAGTGTTTTACTATTGTAATTGCTCCCCGGTAGTAAATCTCCTAACTTACAACCCTATAATCTGAGGTTCGATTCCCCGCAGATAGTCCACTATGTAACTTTGCTCTAAAAATACAGCAGCGACAACTGTTGAAAATAAATACAAGTTTGCTACACCACCAGGACACAACTGGTTTTGTGTGTTTCACATAATTATGGACATGGTTATATATACATATGTAAAATTAAATGAACTTACATTTCTATACAAAGCAGTATATTTCTCCCATGTTTAATGTTTGATTGACGAATAAATAAGTAGAGAATTGTATTATTATTATTATTATATTGCTTTTCTTTCTTAGTCATGTGTTGCTGAAAACTCAAAAATATATTTAAATCAAACGCGTGCCGATGTATTGGAATAGTGTGTTTAATCCTTACAAAATTTTGCCTTTATAGTAACCCTTGTTGTCACCTATCCTTAAGAAGGAGATAAACCACTTGAAACAGAAATTATTAAAGAACCTTTTACATTTTGATAGAATCTGTATAGAATTTTACCCTCAAAAACTTTTACACAAGAATTGTTGAAGAACGTATTGAGTTTTACTGGCAGCAGCATAAAGATTACTGTTAAGTGTGAATTTGCGGTGGAAGCTAACTCAATGCGTATTGACCCAATCCACTCAAACCGGGGAACCAGAAAATTTCCCAGAGCATAATTTATCTTTCACCGGTGTTGGTGTCGTGGCGAAAGTCACAAAAAGCCAGCCGACTAACAATAGAGCTATTCCATTTCCCTATACACAATTGTTGTTGCCCCTTGTACTGCATTGAGGTAAGTATTTATACTCAGTTGTTGGGAAGTGAAAAGGCTTAGTCGTAGAAGGTTTTGCCCACAGGATGACCGAATCAAAAGCTATCACCTTCCTGAGTGTTATCAACGGGGAAAGAGAGGTGCAAGCAGGACCGCATCTAATTCGCAGGAGGGAGAAGCGAAAAACGGCTCTGTATAATAGACAAGCTACCCTGAAAAACACTCGCAGCCGCTACAGAATCTAAACATTGGTACTTACATTTTGAGAATAGTTCTTTGCATTATGTCTCCTGGTGAGGAGCGCCCTTACAGTGAGCGTGCGTGCCCATGATAACACCCCATTGTCAGATTGACAGTCCTTTGGGAAAACCGATTGGCTGAAATGGACCCGCCTCTGTTTTAAGGGTTTGCTTTCATTAGAAGAAGCGTGGCTAAGACTTCTTGAGTGTCTAGATAGGTGTTTCTGAACCTGTTTTGCCTGCATCAATTGTATTGCTGCCATCAGGCCAAACGCGCGTGGTAGCTGAGCGAGGTGTTGAAGTCACGCACTCGGGGTCACCCCTTGTTTGTGCAGCAAGCCTTTGTGGAAGCCGCCATATTGACGCGACCAATGGAACGCTTTATCAGCAAATCTCTGGTCAAGAAAGACCAAAAGTAACGAAGTGAGCGTTGGATAGTCTTTTCTTCCGAAAATCTCTACAGATCAAGGGGCTCTAGGGTGAAAATGCCTCGCCCGGGCAGAAGCACTTATGGAGATCAAAAGCCTCCATATTCCTACATTTCTCTGACTTTCATGGCAATTCAGAACTCGCCAGAAAAAATGTTAACACTAAGCGACATCTACAAATTTATTATGGACAGATTTCCTTATTATCGTAAAAACACACAAAGGTGGCAGAACTCTTTACGGCACAACCTTTCGTTCAATGACTGTTTCATTAAGATCCCCAGGCGACCCGACCGACCGGGGAAGGGCAGCTATTGGGCCCTGCACCCTGGATGTGGAGATATGTTTGAGAACGGCAGTTTTCTCCGACGTCGAAAGAGATTCAAGTTGCCCCGTTCACTGAGGCATGCCACGGCAGCCGCTTTTGCCGAACTGAAACAACTAGAGAATGACACACATAACGCTGTTCAAGAACAAGCGAAACTTCGGCTCGCAGCTCTGGCCGCGGCGCCGTCACACCTACAGCCTTTCTGTACAGACTCATCGAGGACGATTGACAAACAACCGTTTACAATCGAGAATTTGATCGCTCCCGACTACAAAGTTCCTGGACATCCATCATCCTATCAAGGTCTTGCACCGGTTGTTCATCAACCCGTATTACCAAATTTTCTGCCGGCGTTTCCTTGCTCCCTTCCGTGTGTTTCGGCAGCGTCTTGGACCTCTCCTATCTCCTCGACGGACTTTCCCTTTGTATCAGCTGGACTGCATTCAAGAAATTTTCCCCACCTTCTCAACATGACCATGGCAATCCATCCTAAGCCGCCAAGTACAATACCTTTACCCCACACCATCTCTACGCTGTCAGGAACGATGCATACATCGATCCCATTTTCTATGCCATCTCTTCCGCTAAAATCAGGACTTCAACCGGCCTTCCAGTTCCCGGGCCTTCACGCCGAACGTACGATGTTTGGGACTCTTCCTGCGGTAACCTACACATCTTGCTCACCTCCGATGAGAATCGATTCCGCCTCCAGTGACACTTCTACAAAATCCCAAGACATTGTCTCTGACGACTCTTCAAAATAATCCGGAACGTTCGAGACCAAGGTGAGCAGAATGCATAAGCATAATTACGCTCAATGAGCAACTCTATTGATATTAAACGTAGGTAGGCACGCCGACAAACAAGAGAAAAAAAACAGAACATTTCCAGTCTTTGACCACTAATGTTTCCCGCTACATTTGTTTGCTGTAAGCCTTTGGTATCTTGGATTAATCACTAGACACTATTTACTGAAACTGAAAACGATCAAGTGGTTAGAATAAAGTAAGCAAACAGAAAAGGACGTGCATTTTGCTTCAGAAGTTTAGGCTTAGCGCTTAGAAAAATTTATAGTGGAATGCAAACTTGTATTCATGTATGCATGTAAACTGGTGTCAATACATAAATCTACAGTCATTGAGGGTAAATTGTGTGTGTAAACATTTAATGTGTATATATTATATTCAGTGTTTTATTTAATTTATATATAGTTTTGAAACGTAGAATCAATGCTCTTATCAAAGTATAGGAATATTATTCTAATTAAGTGCCATGTCAACCATTACTATGTCATAACCACATATATATGTATGTCAGGGTTAGCTGCTTAGGGTTCACTAGAGTTTAGAAACCAATACATTATAGCTGTTGTTTTAACATTTTCAATTATTAATTGATTCCAGCGTTGTGAAAGGCTCAGTTGTTATTCGAAGCTGATGCTCAAACTGAAAAGGGGAAAGGGAAAAGGAAATTTAGGGATTTTCGTATTTCATAAAAGTAAGTGTAATGAGATAATAAAGAAAGGCGTAAATTACAAGCTACTTAATTGATTTTCCATGTATATTTATATCAAAAGAGTCATGTTTCGAAGTCATATGTAAATATTGTCCGGTTATCTTGCTTTGTAAATAAATCGTTCAGAAAGAAGGAAATTATTGATTTGTGATTGTTTTCTGTTGTGAAGAACATTATAAATACAATTCTCGGCAAAATAGCGGCTACAAAATTGGCAAAAGAAAAACACGTAACATAAATATTCAACAAATTCTACTTCCAACATTTCTATTTAAGGAACATTTAACACAAATAATACCCAAGTATATATCTGAAAGAGATTTTGATGGCTATAACTTTATGGTCAATGTTTCAATAACATATTGTCCTAATGTTATAATGTCTTTAAAGCCCCTTCCTGAGAAAACTTATAAAAAAACTATACAGTTATGATATTAAAACGAAAAAATTTTAGGCATCAATTTACATGTGCGTGCAGCGTGTGTGTACATTTATATTATTATTTCTTCAAACTTCCATTTCAATATCTTAATCGCATCTCTTTCTTACATAAAAATGCGAGTACATCAGACAATTTTCCTTTTAGAACTGTAGCATACTCTTTTTCTCGAGAGCAGAAGTAATAACTAACAGTCTTGTAGGGTTAAATGATACAAAACTTAATTATATTTATTTTACAGTATCATTACTATTTGTGTAAAAAAAAAAGAAATAGATTTATTTACGTCTTTTTCTTCGTAAGATGAGCCCTCCAGTGGCACAGCGGTATGTCTGCGGACTTACAACGCTAGAAACCGGGTTTCGATACCCGTGGTGGGCAGAGCACAGATAGCCCTTGTGTAGCTTTGTGCATAATTAAAAACAAACAAACAAACAAACAAACAAGATCGTAAGATGAACTTAGTCAGATCTCTTCCCTGACTGTTTAATGATTTGAACAAGAACTATTAATAGATTGGATATTAAACGTCACATCCTTTATATTTACCACTGACTTTATGGCTAATAATTAACAACATTTGGTTGTTCGTGATAAATACAATTTCATGGATTGAATTTTCTATTATTGTTTCGTTTATATGTAAAATAACACTTTTATTCACTCCACTTAAAATGAAGTTATAAATCTGTGTTCTCAGAGCATTCGGATTCGGTACGCTTTGAAAATGAAACACCAAATATTGTAAAATATAACTTACATATCGAACATGTTATTCAATAAAAGGCTAACTAAAAGAAAATAAGTTCAGCAAAACAACAATAGACAGTTCAAATTTTGACAGATGGACACTAGGTTTTCTTAATGGAAGTAAAATACAATTACATGTTTTTTTATTAGCTCAATTGGTTATAGGTAAGTTAAAATTTAAAGCAAGGTAGTACGGGATTTCCTTCTAATGACTGATACATGTGGTACCCATTTTTAAATCAGTTTAAAAACACACTTTTGTGTACGGCCTCTCCAAAATAGTTGTTTTATCATTTTATGTTTCGACAGCATACGAAAAAATGCATTTAAAGTCCGATGATTATTTTAGCTGGAGACAATATACTGAAGGCATTCTTTCAACGTTAGCACTACACAACGCTATGAGCTTTCCAGGTAAAATTTGATGACGAAAAACCCACTTTTTAGAAAATAAAAGTTTGGAGACGGCTTGAATGGATAATGAAGAAAACTTTGTAATAAATGTACAACGTGTCGACAAAACTGTGTCATCATCAGGTTGTACATTTATGATATACTTTTTTTTTTTCATTATCCATTCAAGCAGTCTCAAAACTTTTATTATTCATAAACTATTGAGTTATATGGGAAGTTATTGGGCAATGGACCAGATGACTATAGATAGGTACTCATACAAATACGTCAATAGGTGACTATGTAGGTATCGGTAGTTAAAAAGGTTTGTGTAACTGTTAGGTTTAAGTGTATAAAAGAATCGCTTTAAAATTTCAGTGGTATTGGTACTCTGAAAAAATGCATCTTTTAATGTTAAAATCAAGCCAGAGTTGATAAACAATATTACTTTTATCGTAAGTAGATTATATACTAAATAATTTTAACGAAAGGGGAAAGTTTAACAAATTTTTCTCAAATAACCACATGAGATTGACAATGTATTACCTGAAAGATGTATAACAGTTTGAACTGAACTTTAAAAAGGTTCAGAATCAGTCACTTTATAGTATATGTATCTAGCCTAAAAAAAAAAGACAGGGTGTTTTACATTATTGTGCTATTAACATATTCGTATGACTGGCATATAGAGAAGAATGTAATACCTCTGTATTTGATTGTGTTGTATCCTATATATATATATTTAAGTAAAAAATTATATACATAATAAGATTAAAAACTATAAGTAATAATAAAGTAATATTACAGTTTAATAAAATATATATTCACCTTATAGAAAATTCTTACCATGTTGTTATTTGTACTATTTTCTTTTTCTGTCTTTTCACAAATTGGGCTTGTCTTGAAATCACATTACATATAAAGTAGGTTATCACTAATGAAGCTACAGAATTGGGTTATTTTAGCCTAGTGACCAATGTTACCTGATCTAATAAAGCTACAGAATAGTGTTATTTTAGCCTAGTGACCAATGTTACCTGATCTAATAAAGCTACAGAATAGTGTTATTTTAGCCTAGTGACCAATGTTACCTGATCTAATAAAGCTACAGAATAGTGTTATTTTAGCATCATAGTCAATGTTATCTGATGGTAGCCAGTTCTGAAATTACATTTATCTTTTATATAATTCTATATCAATTCATCCATAGTTCACTGTAAAAACTTATGTACTAGCAGAATAGATAAGAAAACAGATATATTGAGAGAGATATAGGGAACTGGTGTTGTATAAAATGAAGGTTGAATATACCTAATGAAATGCTGTTACAAAATAAAGTTATTTACAACCAAAGTTTTCATTATATATGAAAACAAAGACGAACACAGCGACTATGATAAGTTTTAGTACCATTACATGCTTGATAAATGTTTAAAACTGTTACATGCTTGATAAGTGTTTAGTACCATTACATTCTTGATAAGTGTTTAGTACTATTACACACTCGATAAGTGTTTAGTACTGTTACATGCTTGATAAGTGTTTAAAACTGTTACATGCTTAAAAATTGTCACTGGGCTACTTCGTTCTTAATATGCTTATTGGTTTTCAGTAAAGATTGAACAATTAAAGGCTCTGTTTATTTTTTTAGCATTAAAAGTTTATAATGTTCAAGAGACTGATTAACTGCTGCACATACATGATTGAAATTTATAAATTATCGTTATCTATCTGCCTAATTACATCTATACATATATATACATAAGCCGTTTATCAGCCTTATATATTGCAGTTCATTCTTCTGTCTTTTCATCATTCATTATATTAATCTATGTGCCTTACATTGTTTATTCAATTTTCTATCTGGATGTTTATATATATATATATATCCATACACTGAGGATCATGCTTGAATCATTGGCTATTTCTTCATCACTTGCATGAAGACGTTACAAATTGGTCTAGATTTCATCTAATAAAAATGAATACCCTGGAAACTTGCCTAGAATTTGCTTTGGCTGTGAGATGTGTTTTGTAAGAACTGAAGCCTATCAGGAAATCAATTATAAATAGATAAAGAGACAGAGGCTTTCGTGAAGAAAAGAAACAAAGTATCCAGCTAAAAATAAATAGTGTATTATAAGACTAAACATTGATATTACAAATCTAGAATATAAATGTATTTATATAATAAATCTAAATCCCGATTGAGTTGACAATTATAAGCTCATGACGTATCAAGCATTTGTTTCAGTTCCTCAGCACCAATAATTCTGGGACTAAATGTAAGGAAATATGCACATACTTATAAACCAACCTGTACATAGCTATTGTTCAATAAACCAACCTGTACATAGCTATTGTTCAATAAACCAACCTGTACATAGTTATTGTTCAACAAGAGAACAAATGTATAAAATCAAAAATAAATTAGTCGTTTGTTTTATTCTTAAATATCACTCACATTCAGCATTTTTATTGTCGGGTTTATTTGCTTTTGTAACTTACGTTTGGAATTACGTCATTGACTTGCTCATAGTTTTAACTAACGATATTTCAAACATCCAAAAAAAGTGCATGTACATTAAGTCGCTTATTTCTTTATGTTTTGAATATGAGCAGTTGCCAAAGATATATATATATATACTTATTTTAACTATTTATATGTATGTATGTATCTAGTGTACTACATCAGATATTTCGCTTGTTGGTAACTTGCTTTATTTCTTGTTCAACACTACTGTTGGCCACATGTATGTGTGATACATGAAGCTTAACAATAATAATAATTAAAATGCTAGAAATATCTCTCTTTTTTATTTCACAAAAGGTTTTACAAAGTAAAGGTTTTTATTTATTTTGTTCACAACGTTTCATCAGGTTTACTTGGCATCATCAGGTGAGATGCAACAGCTGAGGCTAACAGAAATTATTTTAAAATAAGATAATCACGTGACTGTCTATAACAGTACTAATCTACAAAACATGTGATTCAGCAATTGAAAACTTATTTAAATATTTTATCAATGAACTGTCAAGCACATAAATATAGAAATAAAGCTTTAAAGGCTGAACCTATGTATTGAAATTTGTTCTGTGCACAAGAGAGGTAGATTAAAATAGATATAACTGAACACCTTTGTATTTACTAAGAACAGGGTTTAGTTTTATAATAACAGGGTTTGTTTCATTCTTCGTCTGTTAATGTTGTATTCTCTGCTGATGATTTTAACTTATGAAGAATCAAAAGAAATTGTTCCTAGACACGTGTTCAAAAACATGAGATGGAGATTTTAAAAGTTCACATAAACGACTAGAAAGTTGTATGTTTGACTCATCAGTATAAAAGCTTCTGCAATCTGTATATTCTATTGCATACACATTTCCTGAAGTATTATTGTCTATATATTTTTCTGGATAGCAGCTATTTTTTCCAGGTACAAATGTAAATTGTACTTTAATGTCAATTCTAATCTTTCTCACTCTCTTGTATATAGAACAAATTTCAATACCTAGACTCAGC